CCAATCAGATCTCGCCTACGACCCCAGTCCTTTGTGAGGCCTACCCCCACTGCTCCATCACCTACTCGGCAGCGAGTTGTTCGCAAGGCCGGGTCAGCGCCGCCGTCGAGCAAGCGAGGTGCTCATACTATGTTTACACGGCGCGCTCAAGTCAGCGACTAGCACAAGTCACTCGAAACGCGGTCGGTTTACACGCCAGTGACTAGCTAGTATCTTAATTTAATTTTCATTTAATTTTTCAATTTTATGAATTTTGCTTCATAGCTTTTTCAATAATTCGAATTTTCCGACTATCAGAAACATAAAATACCTCAAATTATTTGAAATATGAATAAAAAAGGTTATGTCATGGAAAGTGACTGACTTGCTCTGAAACACTCTTTATGTGACCTTTCAATTTTTTCTGGACCTCAATGATGGTTAATACATTTATTGCTGCCCATATTTGACAACCTGTTGCCTTCAATTACGGGATTCAATCAAATATATTTGTCCACAATCCGAAAACAACCTTTGCTCTAAGTCATCATTCCCGTTTACACGGCTTTAAGTCAGCGCCTTACGCTGGTCAGTCACCGACTTACGGCTGACCGCCTTACGGTTGGTCACCAGGCGTTTACACGCAGTTTTGGTGCCTCACTAGCGCTAAGTCACGCACTATACTCTGTCTCAGGTCGGAAGAAGCCTGGCGAGGTTCACTTGCCTCCTCAGCCACCGCAGCAACACGGCTACCTGCGTGCGGAGGCGGAGGCCCTCGCCGGGACCCTCCCGACACCCCCCATTGTGGGGGTCCAAGCGAGGACAAAAGAGGCTGGCTTTTAACTCCAGTTCAACTACAAAATTTTAGCTTTTAAAAATATTTTTCCCCGTTGTTGCGTGGTAGAAATAGGCGCTCAAAATGAAGTATTTTCGTGCAAACGGGACGTTTCTGTGACCATTTTGAGGCACCACGGAGCTGAATGGCGTCGGAATTCCGGCACTCAACTTAGCACTCAAAATTGAGGTACGGATTTCAATCTTTTTTGTAATCCAGCTGAAATTTTCTGTTCAGTCCATTTTTGAAATCAGACTGGACAAATTTTATGTCAATGCACTTGTTCAATACGCACTGCTCGATGCTCATTACCAATGCGGTGCCAAGTCGGGTGCCAATGAAAAGGGACAGACCCTTCCCGGCCCGGGCCACCACCCTCAACAGCAGGTAGTGGCACTACCACCGCGCCAACGCGACCGTCGCCAGGCTTCTTCCGACCTGAGACAGACTGTAGCGGCGGCGTGTAAACATAGTACCTGCCGTCGCGCGCTCCCCCGCTCCCCCGCCGAGGAAGGCGCGCGTGTTTCTAAACACTCTGGCCCTCGGCTCGGCCGCCCGCCCCGCCCGCCCCGACCGTACCGTAATCGACGAGAGGAGTACGCACCGTTCAAGTCAACAGCGCCTCGGTGGATATTTCATCTCGAATCATTTCTGTTGAAACGTAACTATCGCGTGTGACGTAGACGTAAACAACTGACAACAATATTTTTATTGATGATTTGAACAGCCAGTGCGAGCGCAGCGAATCAGATCTCAAATACCAGGCAAGTCCATTGCGGGGGGGGGGGGGGGGCGTCTAACCTTGATGAATGACCTTGAGATGAAAGAGATGTACAGAGGCACGCAGATATGAATACGGGAAGGCAATCATACCTAGGCCTGCCCCTCCAGGGGCTGTGTCGCTACCATATAGCTGCCCGGTCTCCCAGCATGCATCTCGGTTGCGAGTGCGAGAGGGACAATGCATGCATGCGGCCGCCGGCAGAGAGCGGCATTGGGCGTTGCAGCTCTAGCGCGCCCATCGCAACTCGGCTGCAAAAGCCCGCCCAGCGCCCGCCCATCCAATGACAGCGCGTCTGGTCCGGCCGCAGCTATCCGCAGCGCCGGAGCCAATCAGAGCGCAGTTTCGATCGACGGCAGCAGATCAGTGGCGAAGGTGTCGCAAGGTCGGAGTCGGCGCTACCGACCCCACCTCACATCACGTTGCCTTTCGGTGTTCTAGGAAATTTTATCCACCCGATGCCTCTCTCTTGCCGCTGGCCGCTGTCGACAGACACGTTGGCGTACACCCGCTCGGCAGTGCGCAGGGCCCGAGGCCAGGCAGAATAAGCAACGGTCCGGCGAGCTCCGGGTCGGCTTTGCCTGCTTGCATGACGCTGCAAGTCGCTGGTCGCCTTGTTCACGGTGCTCAGGTGCAACACCGCGACGGATTCGAGGTTACGCTCCGCCGGTCCACCGTATCTCGGTACCTGGCGAGACATGATCTTGACTTAAGGGAACCCCCGTGCGCCTCCTGTGCAACAGGAGGCACCAGGCATGGGCGGCTAGTCCTATCGGCCGCATCGCCAACTCGGTGCAAACCCACGACCAAGCGCCATAGTCGCATTGATAACGGACGATACCGCACGTGAAACAGAAGACAACATTAATTCACGTACAAAGTGGCTAAGTCCAGTGGCACGGGGCTACAAACAAAGTTCCTGTAACGCGTTAATTTCATCCTACCCTGTAATCGTTGCTGAGTTCATGCGAATTCACGGCGTTTAGCCGGGTCTCAGTATCACGGCATTCACGTGATCTCGGTTCTGTTCACCTGTAATCTGGCCACATGTACACGGTGCTCATGGTGTTCACACCGCGCGGCGAGGTTCCGCTCCCGCCGGCTCCACCGTTCTCAGAGCCCCTGGCGAGCATGGGGTAGGCAACCCACCTCCCACCTGTGCCGAACAGGAGGCCTACCCAGCAGGGCGGCTGAGAGCCACCCGCCACCCACTCCGCGAACCCACGAAAAGCGCCATAGTCGCAGTAACGGAATACCACTGAAACAGTAAACAACCAATCCTACAAAGTTGTATCCTATGGTAGCGCAGTGGCGGGGTGTCTCAGGAGACGGAATTCCGCACTGGTTGGTGGTGGTTCCACGCTAAACCAGCATGTCGCATGACATAGATGCCCGGGAAACAATATAGTCAATATCGTCCATTCCTCTCGAACTATCTTTGAAATACTGCTCCGCATGCAGACGCAATAGGCCGCACTCGCGCAGCGGGACAAGGGCAAAGAGGCCCGCTTAGTGGGCAAGCATCTCTAGTACGTGCGCGGCGGAGCCCCTGGCGGCCGGGGGATAGGCAGCCCACCAAGCACATCTGCACAACAAGCTGCCCAGCGCCAGGCATCAGTCTGCAGCTCTTTGCAATGCTGCGAAAAGCAGCGCGTTCAGCACCGTCCTTTGAACAGGACTCACCGCCGCCTCCTCACCACTCTCTGCATCAATTTAGCCTTAGCCTTGAAAACTGCTAATACCCGGCAAGTACATGGCGGTAGGGGGGGACTTCGAGCTATTGTTGTGACGCTGTGCGAGACAGATGTCGCCTACTCAACATTCAGTGCTACCAACTGTGGAAAAGGTGGCGGCGAAATACTTTCCACCGGTCTGGGTGTAGAACCCGAGTCTCTCACCACTCTCCCAGTCGGAGTGACGCTTTTTACCACACGACCACCGATCGCTTACAAGTGTCCGGGAGCTGGCCCGGTACTAGAGCTGCCCTGGACAGCGGTTGGCCAGGGGTCTCAGACACGCGGCCCGCGGGCCGCTCAGGCGCCTCTCGGGCCGCACTGGGAAATATAGGCGAGAGACACAAGTCCAGGCCGGGCCGGCGACGGCGGCTGGCTCGTCTCCCTGCTGTCGAATGTGTCGAGCGGCCGGCAGTGAGGCTGTCTCTCTCGCACTCCCACGGTTATAAGGGAGGGACAAGGACAGACAGTGTGCTCGCGCGGCCGACGTGAGCATCTTCAGGACGCATCGCACGTAACGCGCTCAAGAGACACCCCCCCCCCTCCATAGCTGCAGCAGTGCAATTCTCGGATGCGGCAGTAGCGTCTTGCAGGAAATGGGGGGGGGGGGTTGCCTCCGGAGCATCGCCACACAGGTAGGCTCTGGGCTATGCTAGGCAGGAGGCAGCAGACACCGGAGCTCTCTTCACTCTGTCTCTCTTGCACCTATAGGGGGCGCCCCATGAGTGCGAGAGAGACAGAGCGACAAGCCGCCGGCCATTACCCATGCCGCCAGAGCCGAACCCAGCCACTTATCTCCTGACTATCGCACCTCGCTACTCGCGAGTGACGGAGCCACAATAGGACAGTGGGATTACCGGATTACAGACGTGGGGTAATGAAACGGTAGTTGTAAAAGCGCACGACAGAACCTGCGACCCGCCAGTCTGCCAGTCTGGGCACTTTCTCTTTCGGTACATACACTGCGTTACTTTACTCGCGTGGGCAATGGCTGTTGTTCGCGCCCGACTGGGCCTCGTACCGGGACCGCGTCTGGGCCGGTCGCGGTCGATTCCATCATGGGGTGGTGGGGTGGGGGAGGGGGCGGGCGGGCGGGCGGGCGGGCGGGGGAGGGAGGCCTCGCGGCTCGACGCGGCAGCCGCCACGTCGCGCCGCTCGCTAGTCTACAGTCTAGTGTCTAGGAAAGCCACAAGTTTAGGAGGGACGCTGTGAGTAAAACAAATCGCAATCAATTCAGTAATTTCAAAGTGTTCGATGGGTCTCAGCTGGAGTAACACCGACGTGGCCCGAAAAGGCATCTACGATCATTTGCGGTCCAGCCGTCAATAGCAATTAGCAGCAGGCAGGAGCATCCAAGCCACCGCCCGGCTGGTTGCCTACCAGCGCGGCGCTACAGCCCGAAGGGCGCCGGGGCTCCGAGGGCCAGGGCCACTACGGCCGTCAGCCGACTTGCACAGTATATACCTACTCCCCAGGTGGACAAAGAAGAGGAACTTCTTGGCCACCCTCTGTTGAGTAACCCCTTTCGGAGCACCCTATACCACACCTGGCCGGTTGGATCAAGGATGTAGTTGGGAGAGGGGGAAATCGTTATTTTCGGTTCGGCCTGCCTGCTAGCCAGCCTGCTGCTCTGCTCGCTGTCGCGTCGCTCGTTCATTCGGCCGGAGGACAGCGAGAGCAGCACAGCTCCCATGCAACGTGCATTCGACTCGAAAACTGGAATTCACATAGCAGTAAGTCCCACAGCGCGTCGCGCGGGAGTCAGGATGGGTGAGAGGGCGTGGGTGTGAAGCGTGTAGCGTCTAGGCGAAGGGGAGAGGGGAGGGTGCCTTCCCGGCCGCGGGGGGAGGGGCGAGGGGGGGGCCTTCGCGGCCGCGAGGCGATGCGGCCCGGGGGAGGCGATGGCGATGCGGCCGCGGCCGCGACGACGCCATCGTCCGCCATTACAGTGGCGCACCCAAGCTGCTGGTGCAGAGTGAAGTGGGGAAGCACAGTTCAGTCTTGGGTGAGTACATTTATATATTTTGGAATGCATATCATTCGGCCATCCAATTCCATGTAATGCTCTAAAAATTTCAAAATCAGAAAACGCATTACAGTTTATATTATGTTGCATAATTAATTAGTGGTTTGACTGTCGCTGACGTGTAACTGTCAGACTCAGTTGGCTCTATGCAAAACAACAGTCACAGCAATATATATACATATTTATGAAAAAAAAAAAAACCAAAAAGGTCTTTGGCCATTGGACAGAAAAATTCAAATCAGTGAAAAACACAGCAACCTCTCAAATTATAAGGTTGCTGTGTGGCATACAAAAAATTTGTAGGATCAAAATGAATGAGGTTTTGAAGAGCAATGTCACTTGATATTGTTTGAAATAAGTCACCCAGCACTAATTTCAAGAAAATCAAGTATCTTGTCCCATTGACACATAGACCACTAGAATTCATATCTGAACATTATTAGGGCAGAGGGTTATCAAATCACTGATGCAAAAATTAAGGAAATAGGCTTAAAAATATTGATTTTGAAAGGTCTTTTCATGGAATGTGTTTGGATGGTAACTGCCCAGCCGCTGCCTTGACTAACCTGGCTATCAGTAAACCCAAATAGTGGTGCAACTGCTTTCACGAATCATATTGAACCATTGACCTTGATGAGTCGTCAGGAATGCGCCTATGAGATGTCATGGTACCTGCAAACAGGGGTCGTCATTAATTTTCTATGCTAAAAATGAGATTGAAAGAAAGGTGGCCATTTGATTGGACAGAATGATTCAGCTCCTTGAAATTATTCAAAACACAACTTTGTTTAAAGAAATTCAGAACCAAGAGAAGAAAGACTTCAACTATGAACGAGGGGCAGAAGCATGATTTTGAAAATAATATAAGTATATATGAACTACTATGAAATACTTGGAAATTCTACACTACAATATTTGGGTAAAAAGTCAAGTAATTATGCAAAATTTAATTTTTCTCTAAACTTTTATATACAGTCTCAAAGTGCTACTAAAAATATGATGTGAAGCAATGTGAGTAAACTCTAAAACCAGATATTGAGGAAACAAAAGTAATTCCCACTGCATTCATATGTTCAAGGTCAAAATCTCAAACTGATGAAAACCTCCACAAATAGAACATTCTTCTCAATGTTTTAGTGTTTATCATGCAAAGCAAAGCTTCTTTTGCATAGCAGGCGTCATAACTAATTGGTACTAAGTTACAATAGACAGTTGTAAGTGGAATAGTGAAACACGCTTTATTGGTCTAAAACCTAACCTTCTGTCCAAATGATTTTGTCTTTTTATCCTAAATTCATGCCAGAGTGGTTCACAATCTGATATAAGACTAGAACTGATAGTCTTGAAGTTCTCTGCCAAAAGATATTGAGAAAAGAAAATATGCCGAAACTCGTGAACTAGTTCTCGTGGAATTAAGTTGTCACAAGTGTAAAGATTTTTATTCGTGAGTTGGTTTACTGCCAAACATTGTCAAACTTACTTGGTGCACCTCAATATCCAGAGCTGCTAGGTGGCTGAGTCTGCCAGCCAGCAAATGAATAGCTGCTTGAATATACAAATGCTTGCTTTCCATCCAACGCAAACGGTCTCTCCATAGCTTCCAGAAGGGCTGTCCGACACATCGGCTAGAAGATGCAGCGACCACTCAAATTCACAGACTGTTCTGTCTCCTTGGGCAACAGGGACCGTTGAACCTGCAAACGAAGACAAAACGGTATAACAAAGAGCTACCTATTGGCAACATTTAATCCTCATTGACGTAAATCAAAAATCGATAATGTAGTAGTCAACATGCATAAGATTTTCCATATAATCAATAACCTTGAGTAAAACCTAAAGCCAGTTTTGCCTGAAATCATGTGAAGCATTGGGAAGAATGCTGGTACAGTTAACTCAAACATAATAAACATAATATTACTAAGTAAAGAGGACACTCAGTCAGTACAGAATCAATTTTGAAATGGAACTATTTTGAAAGAAAACAAGGCTATCTACTCCAAAAGATGTAAGTGTAGCTCATACATTGATTGATAAAGAATGGTGGAACAGGAACACATCTGTTATATAAAGCTAAAATGGTCCAAAAATTACAAGATTTGCTACATGTAAATATCTGAAGGAAAAGTATAAAATGGGCAGTGCTGGAGGTCATTAATTTCTAATTGAAAGAGTGACCAGACTGTAAACATACCAGATCAGTGACAACCATTTCTTATTCCATAGCTTGTAGAAGGTTAGCCCCACACATCAGCTTCATCCGGATATGCAGCGCGCACTAAAATTGACAGCAGCTTGATTTATGTTGGGCAAGAGGGCATGGTGAACCTGCCAACAAAGACAATACACTACATTCAGATATTTCTGCTGCATTCAGATGAATTGAATTACTCAAATCGACAGATCAATTAAGAAAAGAGAACAAAAAAAATGTAAATATGACACGTGATCTAAAAATTGTACGTAACTAATTTGCCTGAAATAATACAGTAAATCACTCAGCACTTACATTGACTGGATCAGGTTGCACACATGGAGATTTCACGCGTTTCAATAGTCTGAGTAAAGGACAGACAGAAATGGAATGTAAATATATCTGACCCTCCTTCCCAGCTTACAATTTGGTTCCTCACATAACCAAAACAGCACCACAATCAAACCACAGAGTAACACTCGAGCACACTCAAGAAAAGCCTAGCATTTAAAACAAAACTATCACCAAGGAAATGTAACCAACTTCTGAGGAAGCAGTTTAGAGAATTGAAAACATAATCTACATGAAAGGAATAACTCACTAAACACAACTGTACCTGCATATATTTATTTATTTATCCGCATGATCCGGTTGAGGCAGCTTTTCTTGGTGTTCGAAAACCTAGCTTCCGCTATCAATTTGAGCTCGATGCCGTTCCTGAGCTCTCTAAAATTGACTTGAACCATGAGAGCTTGAACCTTGAACATAGAAAACTTAACCCTTTTTTTCACGGCCTTGCGTTTGCGTTGCGTTGCGCTTCGCGTCGCGCGAACAAAAAGAAGAACGGGCAACGGGCCCGTGCCCGTAGTATGGACCATGGACGGGAATTTAATTTTATGCGTGGATGCAATCTGCTCTGCACCAGAAACGTTTCGTAGACGAAACTGATTTATTGAAATTGATTATGTTAGGCAAAGACGATAAACATTGCCGTAAATTTGCCAAACGTGCATTCCTTTCTGTGTAGACGGTTGGCACTCTGTTACCAACTTAACGAGAAAGTCACTTTGCAGTTCTCCTCTCCACGAGCTTTCTTCAACAAAAGTAACCGATCAGTCCACAATTCTTTGTCTCATGATGTCATGCGTAGTTTTGAATTTTTTGTCAAAGGCGTGACAGCGGCTAAAGCAGAAACAGTTACCAGTGTACGTTACAGATTTCCGTGCCCGCGGTAGTGGTATGGTTGCATCTGACTTCTGCTCTGCTTTCTGCTTCTGCTTGCTTGAATCCGCTGTCTGCTGGCGGTGTATTTCAACATAATTTAAGTAAATTCAAAATTCCTGAGAGATGCGGTGCTGGAAATTAAGATCAAAAGTCAAAAGTATCTTATGTCCCCGAGTCTGTCCCCGGACCGTGTCTTGGAACGTCTCATTGCCTCTGTTTTTGACTCACCTGGAAAGCACAAACAAACATAACCTGAGGCCAGATGACATTTATGCATCAAGAGCCATGAGGGTGAAGATCCAAGTGAAATTGGTCGTTCGCGTTGTAGCTTATATCTTGTTTACTCTTGCGTTATGTGAATATTTCATGTACTACCTCGTCATATACCAGGTTGGTGATTTCTTCTCTCAACGGTTGCTTTTCTAAGTCTTATGTTGTCATTTCACACAATTTAAAACTGTCAGTGCTAATTCACATTTTTCTTCTGTTTCAGTGTTCTTCGCTTGAGCTCAATTCAGAGGGGCCGAGCTCATCTCCACCTTCCAAAAATGATAGTGAACCAGTTCGGGCCCTGTTTTTGGCGGACACTCATCTTCTTGGGTTTGTCTATGTAGGGTCTCGCAATGGACACTGGTTCGACAAATAGGAGGGAGGGAATGGCAGATGTATCGAGCATTTCAAAGTGCTATTTCCCTGCATAAGCCTGAAGTAGCATTTTCTTTGTTGCAGCATTTTCCAATGTCCCGAGACTCTGACAAAACTTGCGATGAGCCTGATGAAGCCCCAGAGCATCTAAAAAGGATGAAATTTCGAGAGCGATGGGAGTGTCTCTCTCGAGAAGCAACAGAAAAGGTGAGCATATTGTCACATTCTTCAATGGAATTATTTACTGAGTTGATTTATGGAAGCTAATCTTGCTACTGTTCTTTCTCTCTTTTTAGATATTTGATAAACTGGATCCAAGAGCTGTATTCTCTGGGCACACACATCGTGGATGTCATGTTGTCCATGGCGCTTCTCAGGACATCCATGAGTATATAGTGACATTTAGCTGGAGAAACAAAGACAACCCCACCTTCCTTTTGGTAAGTATAGTTGGACTGTCACCATCACCTTTTATTAATTTTTTCAATATTTCCTTTCATTCTTTCTTTTCTTTATTTCCAGGGTATGATGACCCCCAACAACTATTCTATTTCAAAATGTCATATGCCACGTGAATCAACTATCATCTTCCTGTACATTGCAAGCCTTGTTGGCTTTGTACTATGGTTGGTTCGTTGCATGTACCTTTTCTCATCTTTTCGTCACCACTCTGTCTGTGTGTGAACTTGCGGCTGTTAAGCTAAAATTTAAGAACTATGAGTGTGTTGTCATGGGAGCCTATAGATCCCCATCAAACCAATCAGTAAGAAATTGGAATGGTTTTTTGGACAGACTGCTTGAAGCTATTCTACTGGTCAATCCTAATGCCACTAAAGTGATACTAGCTGCGGACTTTAATGTAAACATCAGTAGTGATAGTACGTGGGCTACGGATCTGGTAACTTTACTCAACGCCTGTAACCTGCCTGTATTGTTTAGGGAGGCCACTAGGCTTAATTTATTATCAGGTAAAGACTCATGCATTGATAATATCTGCTCTAATATGCAGAGTGGTCTAGTGCAGAGTCGTCAGCAACCAGGGCCTGCTGGACCATGAACTGTTATTGGCCAGCTTTAAAATTGATAAAAAGAGTATGGTTGCTACTGTCCAAAAAAGGAAAATTAATGCATCAACACTAGGTGACCTGGAAACAGCACCTAGTAAAGACAACTGGCTTGATGTCTTAAAAGAAAGTGATGCAAATCAGGCATATGATGCTTTCTATTAAACTCTAAAATACAATATGGATATTTATTGCCCTGTAACCAATGTAAAGTGTAAAAGAAGTATGAACCCCAATATTAAATGGTCGCTAGTGATGTTAACGAAATCAGTGAATGGATAGGGCTCCTCAGGGATTTGAGAGGCTTAAATCCGATAACTTACGAAGAGCAGGCTCTTATTAAAGAGTACCTAATGAACATCATAAAATAAATCTATTCTTATAAGAAAGGGGTAGAATGATTCATTTTCTCCAAGACAACTCAACCTAAATTCAAAAACATCAATATTAAGAATACTATCAAAAAAAAATAATACAGTAAAAGAAAGTGAGATTTACGTCTTTCTTCAACTTTTACAGCTAGACATTAACACATTCCATTGACACATACAATCCTATGTTGAGCTTGTCCATTGATAACATTGAGATCACAAACTCTGTCTACTTGTCTCCCAATAACAATCCTGCTAGATCAAGATGCAGGACCAGATGTCTTGTATGGACAAACAGTAGATGTCCTCAATGCTTGCTAATGGCCACATTGGCTTTCTCACTTTGGAATCATCAACTTAACAACAAGTATTTACAATATTATAAAAATAGAGAGTGCAAATTATTCTGCTACCATGGGTGATTGGGGCAATGAACAAATCAACCTGACACAGAACAGAAACCAGACAGAACTTTAAAGAGGCAGAGAGAACAACACATTCTGTGAGATCAAGCTTCAGTCTTCACATTATTATTACAGTTAATATGACATCAATCCCTTGTGATGACATTCATTCAATACAAGTAAACAAGAATAATGCATAGAACAGCAAACATTGTAACCAAATTTATACTTTATCACCCTGCTGCACAGAACTAATGACAAGAAATTTTCTCAGAAACACCCCCAGACTGCATTTTGATGCAACATAATTACACTATAGCCTTCCAAGAAGACAATTAAAACTAATTGATTCCAAAGTACCCTAATAATCTTTGTTATTAACAAGTTATCAATAAATGACAATAAAACAGTTTCAATACTGAGTGCTTACTCATCAAAACTAAATTTGTAATATGGATTGGTCTGAATATATAAACTGTGGTTTAACATTTTATAAGCCTATCAGAAAAACATACATCTTAAACTAAAAAAAAAACTTAACACATGATGCAGACTTAAGTACTTCTACACAGGTGTATCTTCTTTGGTTTCCATCCTGATGTCGTTGCCATTGATATACTCAGAAGAAACGTTGTGGTTAATGGAGGGGTTTTCGGTGCCGCCACACTGCTGGTCTCACTGGATTTACCGCGACCTCCACCAGCTGCAAACAGCAATAATGAACTCCTGTCATGCAAAGTCTCCACACACCCATGGCTCAGGGAACAGCTCCATTTTGGCTCTCCGGAATCTCCAAACATTGGCTAAATTTTTTGTTGAATAGTTCTGAGTCAGCCCAATAAAACCTTATTCGAGCCAAATATGACAGGAATTCTCTAAGTTTAGAACACACAAGCAATTCTTTAAAAATAAAACTGCTCATAATTGCTTCCAGACTAATCTGGAAGCAATCTGCTCAGAACAGTTTTATTGTGCACTACAAGGCACAAGTGCATTGTAGCTCAACATGCTCTCAGATATGCATCCTCAAAATGAAATAAATAAATCACAATGAAAAAGGTCTAGTGAGAATCATAATTAGACGGTGGTGCTGTAATAAGTATCAAACCATAATTTAGAAACCATAAAAATGAACTGCATCCCAGTGAACACCAACTATAAAGGTGTTTTTCCTTTCTATTTCTTTCGTCAGTATACCAAATGTCTCAAACAACACTCTATGATCAGCAAGACTTGCAAATCAAGAAGAGGAGAGATAGAGTCAGAACATTAACAGGTATCACAATACTTACAATCACCTCCCCTACCTCCCCTACCTCCTCCTGTCAAGGATCCTCAGAAGGGCTGCAAACAAAACAGAAAGGCACACTGTGAACGGAATGAGTAGAAGCCAAAGACATCAACACGAAGTTGATGAAAGGTGGACTCGTTGGACTGGGCGGTATTTGCATTTCAATGTCGATATCCAATAATTCAAATTTTTTCAATACATAACCAATATCAATATTTGATATTGAGTGTTGAATTTTAGATTATAATGAGGTACCAATACCAATATTGAAATATTGTTTCTCAATATATTGGAAAACTACTCGTATTGACAACCTAAGGTAAGCTTCATTTTTGGCACAAAAATAAGCTACTCTGGCGAAGTAAGAAGAAGAAAGGAAGAAGAATCAAGTAATTTTCAATGTTCATTGAATATTGTTTTACCAATACTGATTGGTCGAACTTGTATTTTAGGGTCTGAAACTTGACGCATGTAAATTTTGGTCAGCAAAGAACATTCAGCCTGCGAAAATCTAATCTATCATCCTGCCTGTTGGATGTGGTACAACTTAAAAAAAAAAAAAAACGAAATTAGGAATTATTGGCCGATCCATGGAATAGGGCCAGAAAAGGTCCTACTCTCATGGCCGATCACAAGGCATGGGAAGCACATGCGGAGAGGCCGCGCGAGGTCGTAGAGTCCTAGGCATGGATCATGGATGTAGTATTTCTAGGACTCTAGTCGAAGTGTCTTGCTGACTCGAACCGCTCGGTCAAGGATTGTATTGGGGGGGAGGGGAAGGGGGAAGGGACGGGGACGGGGACGCCGCGCCGCAGCCGCAACAGCTGACTTACCCTTGAGCACCTCCGCCAGGCACTCTATTATCCTTAGGCTCTCCTCCGGCCTCATCCATATGCCGAATATCGCCGTAGCTATTAGTCCCACCATAAGACTTAACACCGCCCATGGCCTGGAAATGCAATTTTCAATGTAAGTATTATGAGGAAACGAACCTAACCTAACCATGCACTAGACGTGTCGACTTACAGAGACAGTTCAATGAAAGAAAAATGTTCAATGGTGCAGTTCCAGATGGTTCAGGCTCAGTTGTACAGTGCTGAGAAGTGTTCTTCGAGTCTCACAGCCTCTAACTGGACAACTGAACTTAAACCATCCTGAACTGCACCATTGAACAATTTTCTGATCATTGCACTGTATGAAGAACCTCTGTAAGAAGGACTTCTCCCTCAATCTGAAATTATTGCTCTCCAAACAATTATTTATTTTTCTTTCGATTTTTTTTAAATCTTTAGCCATTAGCATGACCACCTAAGGTTTCGAAACAACGGTTATGAGCTGTATGAGACACTTTCCCCTCCGGCCTCGAGGGAAAGGACAGTCGTAAACTATCAAGGCTGCACTCTCATGGGATACAGGTCAACTCCTCTTCTTATCACTGTGGCATATTATTACTTGTAAGTATTGTCCCATCCTCATTTTGCCTGAAATTATTGCTCTCCAAACATTTATCCATTTTTCTTCCCCCCTTTTTTTTCATTTCAGCCATTGGCAGGACCAACAGAAAAGTTTACTGTCTACTGAGGTCTGTAACGAACATCTGGCTGCTGCAGCCATGAAGAAATGACTTGAATTGGAAAGCTTGGGTCGCAAATGAGAATAGACTATGACTGAATACTCGGACCACAACTGTAATCCTTAGTTCATCAGTTCTTTTATTTTTTAATTTTGTAATGTTCTTTTAACTGGAGGGCAAACCCCTTACTTGAAGCTACATGTGTGATTAAGGTTCCTAGCAGTTGTTTGAATCATTAACATAATCACCATATACACTACTGGGTTTGAATTAAAGAAATATGAAGTACAATTTCTGTCACTCCTTAGCCGCTCCAATTAGTATGATGTGACTCCCTTTTAAAGGCTCCTCCAGATGGCTTAATTGGTCGGTTCACAAATAATACTCCAAGCAATTCCTCTCTCTAGTAAATGTCCGGAGAGCCAGCCCTGGCTACATGACACCGGCTGGTCAACCCGCCAACTGTGACTGAATAGGCTTTATAACAAGTGGCGTTACTGAAACATTATTTAGAGTTGAATGCATAATTATTTGAAAACAGGCATTTGCGTGTCCATCCCTGCGAAAAAATGTGGCAGGCAAAGTGTTAAACCAGGAGTCACCTGACTCCTGCCTGACTGACGACTTGATTCAATGAGGTAGGGGACTATGATGAAAACAACTCCGAATGAATTAAATGACAGGGGGGAGTAGCAGAAATTCAAGGGAGGCTCGTCGAGATGCCAGAGGGGTCCAGTTGCATCACTTGCCAGTCGGCCCAAGAAAGCCGCATTTCAAACCACGGAGCTTAATATTGTCATGATATTGTACTTACGGCATTAAGAAGGCCGCCTCCGCCTTCTTAGGTGTTCTTTTGCGTGGAGCCATTGGGAAATTTAAACAAAAAGACCGCTTAAAAACTAGCTGAGATGCTGAGCCAGAGAGCTGACAGCTGAACTACACACCAACACACCTCGTCACCTCGTCGTCCTCCTGCTTCCAGGAACTCAAAATTTTGCACTGCGAAGCACTAAAGCCCGGCAACCTTCGCAATGGTAAAAGTGAACTTTGTCGCCACAATCATCTCTGAATCGCAGCTCTGTTGATTTTCAAATGTTGTTTTAATCTTTTGAAAACCAAATTGACATGATATCTGTTAATTTTTTCCCACCTTTAAATTAATTGCCTGCTCTTTTAGATGTTTTAGGGTGGCGTTTTGGGGGTGCGAAATATGGCGGTACGAAAGTATGACAATTTCACGACCTATGACCAGCAGACGACGTCAGTAGACGCTCAAAACTAGCAATAT